CATTCAGCTCAAATTCAATGCAAAATATAACCTAATTTTGAATGTCGCCCATGCGACGACGCATTTAGTCAAGGATAATATAGTCTGAGCCGATTAGCCGGTGATGGCCAATAAGTACCGATGTAAAAAGTATAATCCGGTACTTTCGTTGTTAAGTTTACTTCATAGTTGCCTGCTTTTGTCATAGGTAAATGTAGGCTTCGATAAAAAAGTTATCCGCCAGATTTTCTAGGTTTCTTCATGTTGATCATTATGAATTAAATTTTGTTGGAATGTGCGACAGCGAGTCTAGGAGCTCAAGTGTTTTTTGTTGACATTTCAGCCTCAGGCTGGGAGATGATTTGCTTCAGATTGTTTCTTGGTGAACGTTGGCATAATAACGCACGATGCCTTTGATCATTGAATTAAACTGGATTTTGTGAACCTTGCATTCAAAGACACTTCAGAAGAATTCATTGAATTAATTCATTTGTATCGTCAACTTATTCTTCTATAGTGAATGCTGAGGGAAACTTGACAGTTGCCTTTGGACAACCTTATAATATGTTACTATAGTTTATTAAGCCTACTGTATCTACTGTATGTGTTCCTCTATCGCCTATTGTCTTTACTGTGTATGATTCCAGAATTTATAATACCAAGTTTATGTTATTGAGTGAAGATTGGAGTTGTTACTGCGAGAAATGTCGCGCCTAGACATCGTTTGGTAGCCATTACTGTGAGCACCTGCTAATAGCCTATTATCATAGTTCATAGCTATTTTTTAGGATGACTTCGTCTAAAGGAAATTGCCTTGAAATGAAATTACTTGTTGCATAAACTTATTGCGCTGATTTGATATTTTTTGGGCTGTTTGCCTCACCTTCGTGGTTGTCCTCTATTTGTATGATATACAGCGACAAATCAAAGATACTGTTCCGTTTTCTTTGACTCAATCTTAGAGAAACGTTTTAAGAGAGACTAATTTGTTCTCCGCTACCGCCTAACCAAGCCTTGCTGCCGAGTGCCGACTTGCTTTCTATGTCTCTTTTGATTCGAAGCATTTAGGCAACTTTAAGATATTGTCCTGTAAACCTAATCTCTAATCTCACGATTTCGGGTATCGTAATTTGAAGCTCAACTGCAGCCATTGGCACTACCTATAATAGTAACCAAAGCCCAACCAAGCGTTGGTAAATGACTGCATAAGCGAGGAAACGTCAGTAATAGTCCCTCCTTCTTGCCTGCCACACCACCTTGTGCAAGTAACAAATGAAATAATACTGCGCTATCGACCATGTTGACATAAATCTTTCCTGTCATGCCATCAGTAATCTCGTGTCATCGAATAGTCAACGAGGTAACAACGCTCAGCTATAACGTTATTAATTAAGCTTAAAACATGGGATTCCAGTCCCTGCATAGTGTACATTTCATGTATGTCATTCTCGCCATATTAACATAAACATAACATAACATAGTGATGTCGGCGCTGAAGTGTAGGCCTGATGTGGCCTGTCGCCGATTCTTTTCCTTTTCGTGCCTTGTTCATAGATCTAAACTCGTGTCATTTGACCGGATCTTTTCATGACTGACGATAGTTTGAAATAGCTACTAGACTTCCACCGGGTTCGAAAAGGAGCTAGGCATTTCAAATCTGAACATATATTTTTCCTTAGCTTTATCTAGTCTGTTCTTGAACGCGTTCATACTTGGAGGCTGGAGCGCCAACGATGTCATTGGGGAGGCTGTTCCACATGTCGGTGATTCGAAGCGAGAAGAAATTTTGTCGCGTGGAGAAGTTGCAGCGCAGTTTTTTTAGCTTATAGCCGTGGCCCCTGGTGTTGGTTCTTGTTTCAAATTCTAGTAACCCTTCAGGGACCTGAAGGGTCCCTGAATTAACTAATTAACTAATATTAAATTTAACTTCCAGCTTACGTTAACATAGTTGCCAACAACGGCAAGTAAAAAGTACAAAAGCTGTTACGTGGTAAAACTGGGGGACACAAAATCTGCTGACATGTGCTGTTACGTCGTAAACTGAGGGACACAAAATCTGATGACTTGTGCTGTTACGTGGTAAAACTGAGGGACACAAAATCTGCTGACATGTGCTGTTACGTCGTAAACTGAGGGACACAAAATCTGATGACTTGTGCTGTTACGTGGTAAAACTGAGGGACACAAAATCTGCTGACTTGTGCTGTTGCGTTGCAAACTTCAACGGTTCTGCATCAGTTTGATTGCTCATCAGTTGCGTGTGTGGTCGTCTCCGATGAACTTCACAAGTTTGCCGGTGATGCACAAGTGTTCCATGCACAAGCGCTTGCATTAAGAGTTGTTTCGTGATGAACCTACTGTACCGTACGAAGTGAGGTCATCCTGCCATGTAACTGACTGGTGCACATCCGCACAATGGCGAACAAAACTTGATGCACTGTTAGAGATTCAGCCTTCAACGTTCTTGACCTTCCGATTTTTCCGGCCGAAGCTGCTTATTAATTCATATAAATTACCGGAACTGGAATCCCTCTCCATAAAGCTCGTTAGCAAATTACTATCTAAGCTTTTAAAGTTAATTTGAAGAATCCACTTCTCCAAGAGGAGAATACGGAGCAGTCCTCATATAAGTGCAAGAAAAACACCTCAGGAAAAAGAAATGATTGAAATGGATGAAAACCGTCAAATACATGGTGTCCGTGAAGTCTGGACACATAGTAAAGTTTAATATATTTCAAATAGTAATCAAAATTATTTATATATAGTTTTGCATCCACTGATCAAATTTGGCTTTGACAAAATAATGATTGCGCCCATATTGAAGATATTATTCGAATAAAATAAATTTTGAAAAATGAAACTTAATTTTAATTATATACCAAAATATTCAACTATCCTACTATGTGTCCAGACTTTATGGACACCCTGTACAAATTCAAAAATCGAGTAAAAATTTCCGCAGCTTCTGGCTTAGAGTGGACGGAAAAATTTTTAAGAGCAAAAGAATTTACTGAAGTTTCCCGGACTTGACCGGAATGGGATTAATTATGCAAACTCATGGTTAAAAACAATAATGGTGAAGGATTTATTTCGGTAAAGAAACTCAACTGCTTATTTATTACTCAAGTGATGGATATCTATTTCAGGAGTGTAGCTATATTTGAGTACATATAAATTCAAATACATCATTTCGATATCTCTTCAAATAGTTTTGCTTGCAGAACAGTTCGGGGTCAAAAATGTCATAACATAAAGGCTCATTAAAGAACTAGTCATGACTGCGAATATGTCCTCTAGCGTTTACACGCAGTGACTGCGATTGCACAACGTAATGGGAGGACGCTCCGCTAACTAAAGCTTCGGGAATTGGAAAGTGAGTTATATGACAACCATGGTTCCCACGAGGCCTCCCAATTACCTTAACAATGATTTATGCTGTTCACAGATCGGCTAATCCCCCAACTCCATGCTGATTATGACAGCTATGACAGCCTCTTCAGCGCGTCACGAAGAACCATGAATTGCAGTTTAGATGGCCTGCGATTGGTCCTCATATTCAATTTATTATCCTTATAAATGAGGCAACTGAAGGCCGAAGCTTCCACTGTAACTATACTCAGAGTAATGAGTGAGGCTTTGGGTAGGAGAGTGTGTCAATATTTGGACAACATGATCCTTTACTTTTCTAAGAGATATATTCATGAGTTCCGAGGCCTACAGGCCCGAATTTGTCGAATAATTAAATCGACTGAAACGAAGCTATATTCTTGTTTTTGTGGAGCACAAATTTACGTCGCTGATCGGTGATTTGAATGAACTTGTTCATCATGGAAACTGTCCAGGGTTTATCAAATTCCAACAAGTTGTGGGTTAGATATTCTTCATATTTAAAAGCATATTTCAAGATAAACCTGAGCCGAGGAAAAAAGGCTCCCGTAGCCGTTAATTGTAACAACTGGAAAATTTCTAGACATAACTAAAATTTTCGGCCATATTATGTATTTAATGAATGTTAGTTACTAATAGATACTTTGTAAATGTCATTATCCCAACTTCCCGCAACTGCATGAGGGCTGCATCTGCTCGTGGATATGAACAGCGCACATGCCACTGAAGAATATTTCCGTGCAGAAAACTCGCTAGCTTTTCATTATTGTTACGTTGATGCTGCGACAAGTATGTCCCACAGCTAGGGCACAGCCACGAAGCATGTTTTGGTGGACGTGGAGTCAAATTTTAATAAAACTTAGTTAGTTTAGATTATCATTTATTTCATCTTGCTTGCTTCTTCCTCACTGCACTGGCGTGCAGTTCTCGACTCGGTTTCTACTGCTGCTTAATTTAACCAAATGTCATCATTGGAGATTATTCAAATCAAAAACTAATTAGGATTTGGATTTAACATTAAGCTAGGTTGCCACGACAGCTGGATTGCGAGCATTTCTAATATTTGAGGCTTAATTATTAATTTGTGCAATTCTTTTAATCAGCCGTCATAAGTCATTATAATAGCAAACCAGAAACCACCTTTGCTAATTATATTATTCAAGCAAGCTTGCTGATGAGCGAGTCGCTCAGCTTGCAAGCTTCACGGTTAACTGCTGCGTTCCAGTTGCGGTTTCAGAATAGCATTAGCTCATCGTAACCACTAACCTTCTAACCGTGATTGTAATATTGTTTTAAAGGTAGGCCCTGTTCAGCTAAGGGGCTTACAGTGTTCATTATTTAAAACAACTTGTGATGATATGCGAGAATAGATGAATATGCCAAAGAAATACTTCAACCTGGAACATGTTTAACCTGACTGGATTTTACTCACAATTTGTTGTCTCGATCGTTAGTGATGAAAAATTGCTCCGTATGCATTCAGAAAGGTTCATCGAAGAAGAATTTTATCTTCGTACGAAGCACGTTAAAAAGATGCACTTCCATGAACAGCGACCAACGATGGGGATGTTCACGATGTCATGGCGTATAAAGCGTGCGTGCTGTGTATGAAGCAGCTCACAGAGTGTGAAGCGTTGAACGAGCGTGCACGTGTATCGCTAAAGACCTTATTTCTCTACTGTAGTGCTCGCCGCAGTGACACACGCAGACAGCTACCCGACCACGCCAGGTGCGTCTGCTGAACACATTATCCTTCGTCAGGGGTGTCGAACTTCGCCAAGATGTTCAGCCGGTAAAATTTTGCAAAAAAATATTATGCTGATGAAATCAATCCAATTTAATTACACTGATTGCGTGTGCAAAACATCTTGGTGTTGTTTGAGATCTCTGGTCTTTCACTCGTTCGCAAAATGAATTCACACGCAATATTAAACCAGGAAATGGCGAATATCCAAAAAATCCAAGTTATAATATGCATCTCAGTTTACATCTAAACATAGGTAATTTCTGGCTAGAGGTAATGTGACTTTTTTATTCATGTACTTGAATTGCAAAGACTTTCTAAGCACATACAAAATTATCATATATTGGTCTATAAAATTGAGCCCAATTTTCTTTGCCCAGCAATCTGCGCTTATCCTAATAAGCAAAGATAAGAAATAATCTGTAATTTATTAACTACGACCTTAAGTTTTGTCATGAAAAAAACTACCGAGTTCCGTACAATTTACCTGCTCATAGCAAATTGTTCTCCATGGCAAGATGACAGCGAGCAAATGCAGATAGCAGTAGGCAGACTTTGGAAGTCTCAAACATAGAAGTCATGTGAGTGACACATTCGAAGCTGTAAAGGTCTATACTTAATAAGATCTCCATTTTTGGGATTCTTATTAGTTTTGAGTATATTTAGAATGAAATTGTGAGAATAATCATAAGTTGGATAAAAAGTTGTCATCGGCAGGAGCGAGGCGACTTAGATGAATAAGTAAAGTCTTCGGTGTTGCCGTCTGAATGTGCTGGTTACAGTATGCCCTGAGGCGGACGATCCTGGCAGGATTCGCTTATTGAGCTCAGAGAATAATTTTAACACAATACCATACAAAAAGTAATTTGAGTTATTTATTTTCAGAGCAAACAGCAATTTGATTGTTTAAGTACCATGTCGAGGTTTTACGCTTGTTTATTTGCTCTGTTATTTTATGAAGCTGAGGTACAAGTAATATGATTTTTTTGCAATATTTGTTCGTTGAATGTTATAGAGCTCTTTGAATGACTTCTTCAGAAAAGCTTAATATTTTATGTGAACTCTACCGCAAATATTGATATAAATAATTGTATCGGTCGCTCCTGAATTGATATAGATCAAAGTCGTGAAACAATCAAGATGATGGGATTATAACGGTGAGAGGAATTTAAATTTTAAATTTGATTAGAATACTATTTTCACATGAGAGTATTGATTGTGCTCATTTATCAAGATAGATAGTCACAAAAGATTGCAAACTTTCCGGCTGAATTTTTTTTTGGGTCTAGAACCATTCAACTTTCCTCACAGCTCATAATTGTTTTCTGATACAGAAAATATTTGTGCCAATATGCCCCAATAAATGATCTAGTATCGTAAAAGTACAAGCATGTTGGTCACTAGTCAGTGATGGTTTAGAAATAATTGTTGGGTTTGGAACACGAAGGAACTTCCTACTGCGATACTCCCTCAGTGTGGCCATCAGGAGGATGTCAGTGACGCTGCAATGCAAGAGCGAGCGCACGCACGCGACGCGGTGTCTCTCTGACGCAATTCATAATCTCCGGGGCTGTCCTTATCTCACGCTAAATACGGCGCAGCTAAATACGACATAATCCTTATCTCACGCTAAATACGGCACAGCTAAATACGACATAATCCTAATCTCAAGCTAAATACGGCACAGCTAAATACGACATAATCCTTATCTCACGCTAAATACGGCACAGCTACATACGACATAATCCTTTTCTGACGCTAAATACGGCACAGCTGAATACGACATAATCCTTATCTCACGCTAAATACGGCACAGCATATGTAACGCACTAGAGGCGAGTGCAATTCTGTACAGTGAGACGAGTCATTGATACGCGCATGCGTAGAAATCAAGATGTTAACATAACATAACATAACATATCATAACATAACATAACATAACATAACATAACATAACATAACATAACATAACATAACGTAACATAGCGATGTCGGCACTGAAGAGTAGGCCTGATGTGGCCTGTCGCCGATTCTTAGTAGGCGACCGCAGGGCATAGCTTTTATTTCTGAGCTTCATTGTCTACCAAATCTATAAAAGTTTGACACGCTAAAGTTTTTTGATCTGGATGAATAATTAGAATCGAATTTTAATGCACTAGTAAAGTCGCACCTCGCTTACTGTACTAAGCCTAAGTTGCTACCAGTTTTCCCTGCATTACCAGAATCACTTGACTCGTACAGATTCGGAACTCTTAATTAACATAAATTTAAATCAGCAAAATAAATAAATATGATAGCAAGTTTGTGCTCATTACTATTGTGTCTTTAGTGAGCATCTATTGGAGCTTTTATGCAGACAATGTTTATTACAGGCTTTGATCGTTGATTTTCAGAGCAGAACCAATTCATGTAATATGTAAATTTGCGTTGTTTTTATATTTAACTTTAATTGAGAGCCAATAAGTCAGTGACGAGCGTTCTTCAGTCAAATTAAGCTGTGCATGCATAGAGCATACGTACCAACAGTGTTAAGGTTATATTCACTCGACCTTAAACAGATTAGCAGGTAGATATAAAACTACACTAATCAGTAAAATCAGTAAGTAAAATGCATATTCATTCACGCAGTCTATGAACACGTCTTTAATCACGCAGTAGATTCTTCGTGACGAGAAACAAAGGCTCGTGTAACAGACGGAAATGCGTTGCTGATGACCAGAATCATGGATTGTAATGGCCACCTCCTGCAGCGGCTCGCGCTTATAGCTCCGCTCGCTAGGCGCTAGGCAAAGGCAACCAAAATTGAGTTGAAATTTTAGTAGCTTTACAGGTATGGAACTAATGTATATTATATACTTATATAATCCTTGTATATTTGAAATATGGATGAGCCACTCCGCATCAAATTTGAGCATCGGGCCAGCTTTCCGAGGCAATTTAGTTACCGAGACTAAATAGATAATTTGTCTTGAATTCCAACAACACGACGAAAATGTAATAGATGTGCTTGTAACTGCGCTGAATAATATCGAATCTATACATATTTAGTCCGAGTCTTGACCAAATTTATTCTAATTATCAAAAGTTTGATCTACGTTAAGTTGAGCATACGTTAAGTTAGTAATAAAAGGCATTAATTCACCAAAATATGTGGTATATTTATATGTGGCAGGGTGGCCCAGTGGTTACAGTTCAGAGTACCAAGATTGGAGCAGAGAGGCGCGGGTTCGATCCCAGCTCTGCGCGCCAATTTCTGGTCAGAATCGGCAAGGAGGCCGGGCGGTTAAGCACAGCAGAATTGTAGTAGTGAGTTGCGAGTTCGAGACCGCAGCGAGCTGTGAATGTTCTGCGATGTTAAGAATCGGCGACAGGCCTACGGCCTAATAAACGCTGAAACCGCTATTATATATTATTATTATACTAAAAATTCCGGTTGAATTATGGCCTTAACGACATGGTAATTATTTACGAAAAACTCCGCCTTATGAGCGAAGGTTGAATACAATGGGCGAACTCTCCTGTAATCTGTCAACGATCTCCATACTTTAATGAGCAGAACATAGTGAGCCTTACTGACGCACTCCACGGACCGTCTTATTCACTGAACTTGCTCAAGTGCACGTAGCGGCCTAAGTTCACGTAGCTGTCATGTACATGTAGCGGCCGATTTCTCGTCGGTGTTTTTTTCACTGACAAACCGGGAATCTTGACACACCGTCAGTGATTGGCTGATGGAGATACGAGCTATAAAATATTTTTTGCAGTGCGACTTTAGACTTTTTTGGGCGTATTGAGCGTTACTCCTCGTCCCGATGACCTCAGTCGAGGTTTTCGAACTTTAACGCTCACTCAGGGTTAACGTTTCACTTCTGAACGTTTTTAATTTACGCACTTATTGCAGATTAGAGGGAGAAGCACCGTAATCCTGTGAGACCAAACGAAGGTCGAGATCTAAATTCATCTTAGTTATTACACCAGAGTGTTTTTTATTTTGATATTTTCTTATTCCATTTGGGGCAATAACACGTGGGACTCTCAATAAATATTTTTGAAACAGTAAATTTTGGTAGCAAAAAACTATATGTTGATCGAGGGATCCCATGTTATTGTGTTATAAACTTCTGACTTCATTTTTTTGCTTAACCTAATTAATTAAGTTTTTAAATTACAAAGAATGATTAAATATAATTCTTTGAAATTAGGAATTTGCATATGAATAAGATTTGTATACACATGCATCATCTGTATCACTCCTCCATGTCACGAATATAGCCTTCAATTGATGGGTGGCATGTAATTTTACTTTCATTTCCTGAAATTATTATTATTTATTGGACCCAAATAATTTACATATAATTTCTCTACTTATATCATTATTTTTGATTATTGTTGGTGGTGACCTGCTGCATGCTCTTGCTATTTAAATTGAATTTTTCTCCATTTCCTTTGTGCACCTCAGCACGCCTCTCTTCGCTCGTTCATGATTTGCGGACTTGGTTCAGTGGAAAAACAAGCATCTTTGGTAATCGTGGAGGCGCGAAACTTCTTCTCGGGATAGCAGTTTTCTAATAATAAATAATATTTTTTGTGAAACAAAGTTAAATAAGCAGTTTCTGTGATGATGATGCACAATTACTTATTAATTAAAATTAATGAATAGAAAAATAGTTGATCCTGATGAATCGTTTCCAGCTGAAATCGAGGCTCTTCCAGAGAAGCTCAGAGACATCGGAACGAAATTATAATGTATCGTATAACGGTGTTTAATATTGCAATGGCTAATCTGTAGCTATTATTATTTATTAACTATTGCAAGAATATGATCGTTAACGTTGACTCCAAGAATCCAGAAACGTGTTTCTCAGACGCTGTGACAGCATTATCGTCTTAGGCTGATCTGAACACAATTAAAGATGTATCAGCAGGAAGCAAGGAAAAGACGGATTTAGAATGAAGTCGCAAGTGAAAATGTGCTTGAAGCGAAG